ACCTCAGCCTCCCAAAGGCGTGGGATTACAGGCTGAGCCACCGAGCCCGGCTGTGGTAAAGATTTAATGAGATAATATACATAAAGTGCTTAGCAGTGCCTGGTGCATAGTAAGTGTAGGATTTGCTTCCAGAAAGTTCATTTGGTTGAAGGAGCTAACTCATCTATGTTCCTCAAATAATAGGGGCCTTCTGGTACAGGTATGAGTCCGAGGAACCTAGGAAAAACCGAGCGACCAAGGCCCAACCACAGCGAGAAGCACGGGCCAGGTGAATGCTCAACCTGGCTACTGGCTGGGCCAAGGTCCAGGCTTTGGGCCTGGTCTCTCCATTACTCTGTATACCAGCCTTCTTCCCATCCACCACCCCCCAGCACGCCCACCATGCATCTCTTTTCCTTAACTTAGAGCTGCTGCTTTTTTTGTGTGTCGGAGTCTCACTCTGTTGCCCAGGCTGGAGTGCAGAAGCATGCTCATGGCCACTGCAGCCTTGAAGTGCTGGGCTCAGGTGATCCTTCTGCCCCAGCTTTCCAAGTAGCTGGAGCCACAGGCATGGGCCACCATGCCTGGCTTTTTTTTTTTTTTTTAATTGTAAAGATGAGGTCTCACCAAGTTGCCCATGCTGGTCTTGAACCCCTGGACTCAGGCAATCCTCTCGCTTCCACCTCCCAAAGTGCTGGGATTACAGGTGAGAGCCACCACACCCAGCCTAGAGCTGCTTCTTATGTGCAGAATGATGTGGGCCTGCCACTATCTCTCACACCTGAACGGTGCCTTGTGGATTCTCTCAAAACCTCATCCTATGCCTACTTTCTGCTGTAAAGCCATTCATTCAGCATCTGCCAGCTCACATGCCTTAGAAGGGAATCTGACCACCCCCTTCCTTCTTGCCATGGCAAAGCACTGCCCGGGCTGCTGACCTGCCCAAGGATGGACTGGTGTGGAAGAAAGAGCCCACCCTGATCCAAGCAGTGGAACCCTAAGGGAGGTGGCAGTCCCAGGATGCAAAGCCCAGCTGTAGATGGGCTGCCTTTGTAGAAGAAGTCATTGGCACATCACTGGTCTCTCTAGCAGATTTATTGTTGCTTGTGATTCTAGAAAGGATTTGTTATCTTAGAATCATTTTTTTCTAAGTCTTCACTGTTTTTGTTTGTTTGTTTGTTTGTTTGTTTGAGTAGGAGTCTCACTCTGTCACCCAGGCTGGAGTACAGTGCCACACTCATGGCCAATGCAGCCTTGACCTGCTAGGCTCAGGTGATCCTTCTGCCTCAGCCTTTCAAGTTAGTAGATCCACAGGCACATGCCACCTTGCCTGGGTAATTTTTTAATTTATTTTAGAGATGTGGTCTCGCCAAGTTGCCCAGGCTGGTCTCGAACTTGTGGGCTCAGACAATCCTCTCACCTCAGCCTCCCAAAATGCTGAGATTATAGTCGTGAGTCACTGCACCTGGCCTGCATCCCTATCTTGAAGCGAATGCTGCTTTGTAACTCATTCTGCTTCTCCTAACTTAATAACCAGAAGTCATTCCAAGAGCCGAGACTGGGCTTGCCCCTTCCTGCTGCATCTGATCAAATGCCCCAGAATCCACAGTCTGCTACCAAAGGAAATGCCCCTCAAATTTGGTTCCCTCTCTTTTTTTGGAGGGGTTGTGTCTTTTCCCACCTGGCAGAAACCAGCAAAGAGATAATAGCAAGGCAGGGAGAAGCTTCCACAGGAAGGGCCCTCCTGTCTTCTGAGGAGTGAGATTCTGCCTCTCTTCCTCTCACCCAAAGGGCCTCTTCTGAACCGGAAGCTTTTGTGACTTGACTTCTGATATAAAGGACGCTTCTTCCAGTAGCAGAATACAGAATACAGAGTTATAGAGATAAAAACTACCCCTGAAGAGAGTCTGGATTTCTTCGTCAGTAAACAACTCTGCAGGGCACAGAGTAGGCAGCTCCCAGGACTCCCTACACCCTTCACAACAGCTGCTCCCGAGTGAGCGGGGCCCACCCTGAGAGGTACCAGGACAGGATGGGCTGGGAAGATGCTAGTGACAGGTGACAGTCACCAAACACATGGTAGGACCAGGCTCTATTGCAAATACTCTCCCGGGCCATTTTATTCGATCCTCACCACAATTCTAAGCAGGGAGACATGACGATCCTCATTTTCCAGACGAGGAAACAGAGGAGCCTGGACATTAAGTATCCAGCCAGGTAACTCGGCCCAGTTACTTGAGGACAGATGAGGCAGGCTTTGAACATGCTGTCTGGTTCCCAGAGCCCCCAGTAGGTTCTGATCCTTTCTGACTCTTCTCCAACAGCTGGTAAGACCCAGACGGTCAGCCAGGGCTTGTGGAAGCTCTGATTTAGGCCATCTCTATGTCTATGTGCTTGGACTTTCGAGTCAGATAGACCTAGACTCAAATCTCCTTCTCTGTCCTTCCTGTCTGAACTTGGGCTTATGACTTACTCTCCAAATTTCTGCTTCCTCATCTACAAAACTGGTGTTACAGTATCTGCTTCAAAGGTGTTGTTGAGTTGGAAAGATTGAATAAGGTGGGCCAGTGTGTTGACTCAAACCTGTAATCTCAGCTCTTTGGGAGGCCAAGACAAGAGGATTGCCTGAGCCCAGGGGTTCGAGCCCAGCCTGGGCAACTTGGCAAGACCTCGTCTCTACAATAAATTTTTTTTTTAAATTACAGTGCTGGGATTACAGGCTGAGCCACTGAGCCCGGCTTGTTTGTTTGTTTGTTTGTTTTTGAGTAGGAATCTCACTCTGTCACCCAGGCTGTAGTGCAGTAGCACAAGTGGCTACCACAGCCTTTGTCAGCTGGGCTCAGACAATCCTTCTGCCTCAGCCTTCCAAGTAGCTGGAACTACACTCCTGCGACACCACACCTGGCAAATTTTTTTTAACAATGAAGTTTATTAGAGAAAGAAGGGAGAAAAGAAAGGGTGATATGCCAGATCTGGCATGGGCAAAAAAAAAAAAAGCCTAATTTTTAAAAAATTTATTGTAGCCGGACTCGGTGGCTCAGCCTGTAATGCCGTGCTTTGCGAGACTGAGGTGAGTGGACTGCCTGAGCCCGCGGGTTCGAGACCTGC